ATATATACATACTAAAATAAACTACAAAAGTCACTCGTTTATCGCAGGTGATCCATACCCTGAAGACCTGTGATAAGTGAAAAACTATGAAGTAGGAATAGATAGTAGTACCAGTAGTAAGTAGTTGTTTATTTTAGTATGTATATATCCATCCATCCATCCATTTTCTTCCGCTTATCCGGGGTCGGGTCGCGGGGGTAGCAGCCTAAGTAGGGAGACCCAGACTTCTCCCCAGCCACTTGGGCCAGCTCTTCCGGGGGAATCCCGAGGCGTTCCCAGGCCAACCGAGAAACATAGTCCCTCCAGCGTGTCCTGGGTCTTCCTCTGGGCCTCCTTCCGGTGGGACGTGTCGGGAACACCTCACCAGGGAGGCGTCCAGAAGGCATCCTAAACAGATGCCCAAGCCACCTCAACTGGCTCCTCTCGACGTGGAGAAGCAGCGGCTCTACTCTGAGTCCCTCCCGGATGATCGAGCTTCTCATCCTGTCTCTAAGGGAGAGCCCAGACACCCTGCGGAGAAAACTCATTTCGGCCGCTTGTATCCGAGATCTCATTCTTTCGGTCACAACCCAAAGCTCGTGACCATAGATGAGGGTGGGAACGTAGATCGATCGGTAAATTGAGAGCTTCGCCTTTTGTGTATATATATATATATATATATATATATATATATATATATATATATATATATACATGTAAAAGCGTTTTTAACCCTTTCCACCCTCTTGCAATATTCTAAATGTTTCTAAACTCTAAACGCTCTCAAAAAAGGCACAGAATGTCATGATTTCAGCTCCCTGCCTTATCTGCTCTTTGCCACCTGCGGGCGCTCTTGGCCACGCCCACTTCTCCACTCTGCACGGAGAACAGCTGATCAGCTGCAGCAGGAAGTTTATCGTGCCGTAAGAGCTGCGCAAAGGTGCAGGAGGAAACTTTTTCTGCAGCTCTGGGCTGCAGAACAGTGCAACAGTTGCTAAATAATTTAAAAAATAAAATAAAACAAAAATGTCATGCTGATTGTGCAGCTAATCCATCAATCAGCCACTTGTATGTCATGTCCAATCTTATTTTGAAATACCACGATAGAGCGAGTTGGCGATAAACGAACCGCAAAGTAGCGAGGGACTACTGTATTACTTACTACTACTTGTACTACTATTCCTACTTCCCAGTTTTTCACTTCTTGCAGGGCTTCTTGGTACGGATCCCCTGTGATAAATGAGGGTCTACTGTACAGACATTTTCTGAGTAGTGTTTTGTAATGGTGCGTTATGATGTTACAAGAATAATGATTGTATAAATTAAATATATTAGTCCACCTGCTGTGTTGAAAGTTTAGAGTAAGTGTGATTTACCTTAGCCAGAGACGTAACGAGAGGCTGTTCAAACACTGAGTACTAATGAGAGAAGTCTGCATGATGTGTGTGGGCGGACATGAAGATAATAAATCTCCAAAGTGCAAGCAACAGTGGGCGTACTGATGATTAATAATGGTGATAGACATGTTCAGACATTGTTTTTTTTTTTTTTTTTTTTCCCTCTCTGGTTGTGTTTTATTTTCACTGAAAGTATTAAGGTTTCACTTCCATTGCCATAGCAACATCATCTACTTCATTCAGGATGTAAGTGTCTGTGAGAAGGTAACGGTAGTTCACTCTATTTGCATGCCTCTGTTTTTGAGCCATACAGCCTGGGAGTACCATGTCAGCTCCATTAAACCTTTTCAGCAGAGAAGTGAGGCTTTTTGTAAACAGTCAGCAGTGAAGAGAGTAGGACTGGTCTGAGCTAAAAGCAGGTAAAATATAAAAAGCAACAGCACTAAAACGTTTTTTTTTTTCCTTCTTAATTATATGTGTCTTGTGTGTGGTCTCATCTCTCTGGCTGACATCCATTGTCTATCTTTAAATCTCCATCTTTGTCTTGTTTTTTTTATTTTTTTAATATTATTATTATTATTTTGCTGTGCTTGTTTTTCGCTCAGATTTCAAACTTTTTTTTTTTCCCCCTTTTCGTTTTTGTGGTTTTGACACATCTGTCAGTTGATTCATTTTTTATTTTATTTTTTTTTATGAAGGTTTGCACTTACTGCAGGTGGACTAATAGCTTTTTGAGTGCTGGCAGCTTTGAGGTTGGTTTGCAGTGTTCCACAGAAAAAGGTTTGACTTCTAACTTGTGTTAAAGTAAATTCTGTGTTATTGGTAAAAACATGTGGGGTCACTATTCCCACATTTTTAATAACAGTCTAGTACTATTTGATTGACTGTTTGTCAAGTCTAAATGATTTTTGAATTATTAGGTGACTGCCAAGATGCATTATATACTTGATGCCTAATAGTGAATTTCCATAAGAACATAATTTATTTTCTTAAACATATATTTTTGAAGATTAAAAAAAATGTGTATGAAATGATGACCAAAGAACAAACTAAATTAAAAATTAATGACTCGAAAAGAAAACTAACAAATATCAGAACTGTATGTAAAAAAAAAAGCTTTACTTTTTCTTTGCTAGAAGTATTGAGTTTTGTATTAATATAAACACTGTGTCAAACATTAGTCCTTACAGTATGCATGTTCTGAGTTCACCAATGAACAACTCTTCTGACTTCTGACTCATAAACTCTTATTAAGGTCTAGTACGCACTTAATTAAAAAAAAAAATTAAGACAATGACAGCCATGCTAATGAAAAGGGGTGAACTTGTGGCTGACCTCCAATTGTAATAGACTAAAATACTAAAAAGAGGGGTTTTTTTACACTCCGAGATGTTTTGAGTCAGTACTTGTACTAGGGCTGGGCAACATGGCCTAAAATCAGTATCACAATATATTGAGCAGTTCACCTCGATAACGATAAATGGACGATAACTGCAACCCCCCACCCCCAAAAATAATGTGATAGGCTGGCATAAATAATTCACAGCCAGTTATATCGATGGCATAATTCCCTTTTTATTGCCACTTTTAATGAGCTTTAAAACTACAGCTTCTGCAAATAAATGAAGAAAATATGTACTTTTAGTTGTTAATAGTTTTTGAACAAATAAGCACAACTGAACAAATTTAGAACAATTAAATAATGTCATTATGTGACTACAGACTGCATGTAGTGCAGTGTCTTTAAGGGACATGAGCACAGCTTACCTATACACAGCCAAAAGACAAAACAACTTTTTTTTTTTTATATATATATACACACCGAAAATACCGACATGGGCAAAAGGACGTCGATCATTGTTATAAATGTTGGTCTCGGTTAATTTTCAGTATATTGCCCAGCCCTAACTTGTACACATTACACTTTGGGGTTCCTGTAGAAAATACATTTTGTATATACAGTAGTCTCTCGATACTTCACGGTTTGACTTTCGCAAACTCACTCTTTTGCAGATTTTCAATGGAAGATGGTACACAACACAAGATTGGCAATGGAGAAAGACAGACCCCGCCCCTCCTTTCTTTTTCTGAGGCGGTCTGTCACGGCAGAGCAGATACACATGCCCTGTTGTGACAGACAGCTGCAGAAAGAGAAAGGAGGGGGACAGGGGGTGGAGTCTGCCTTTCCCCCATCACTACTGCTCAGGGAGCAGGGATGAATAGATCAGATGCACACATGTAGAATGTCAGAGAAAATGATTATGTGGGAAATTAAGAGTGAATCTGTTTTAAAGAGAGAGGGAGAGAGAGAGGCTGAGTGTGGCTCACTGAGGTATAAGACAGACCCCCCCACCCCTTCTTTCTTTTTCTGAGGCTGGCTGTCACAACAAGTGGGCGCGCAACCTGTTGTGACAACCAGCCTCAGAAAAAGAAAGAAGGGGGCGGGTGGTGTCTGTCTTATACCTGAGTGAGCCGTACAAGCAGCGTGGATTGTTTATTTAAAATAATCAAGCGAAAACGTCTCTACTTTGCAAATTTTCACTTATCGTGGGGAGTGTCTGGAACGTAACCCCCGCGATAAGAGAGGGACCATCGTAGTGTATATATATATTTATTTTTTAAATCTTTTAAACAAAATCTTAAACAATTCTATTATTAAAATTGTAAATATTTCTAGTTATATTGCTAGTTGCTAGCTATAATGTTAGTTTAATGCATTGTTATCTTAATAGGTTACTGCTCTTTATCAGGAGTTCTTTACTTTAAGCCTAATTTGTGGTTCGACTTCCCTCACTGCAGAGCACACTCACTGTTTGGCTTTTTATTTTAGTTTTGAAGTGATTTTTCCTCTTTGTGTGGGCTGTGACATGTTTATACCCAGCACCTGACATTAATCTTGGCAAATAGGGCTCCTACAGTGTGTCTGTCTAAAGGACTGACATTCTTCACTGAAGCCATACTTCCATTGTTGCCGAAAGACGCAGGTGGACTTTTGCACCTAAGTGCTTAGTTTAGACGCCTCTACAGTCATTTGTACAGCTCTAAACTCAAATCAACTGCAGACTTGACACGCCTATTTGTAACCGTTTCTGAATACTTTTATTTTTAATTTATTATTTTATTGTTTCAGTTCTTCCCAATCATTTTGATCCGTAAAAGGTGTTAGCATTTAAAGGTCAGCATCACTTGGATGTTTCTTTGCTGAGTCTCGGCAGCTTCTTAATGCCATGAATCAGTTTTTATTCCTCTTGCGCTCCTGCATCTTCTTGGTGTCAAAAAATGCTGCACAGAATATTTAGTATGTGAGACCACGTGTTTAAGTATTCAAAGCTCTGCCATCCTCTCAGTTCTCGTTGCAGTGGGTCATGCTGGTTTTCATCAGAGGGCTGGTCCAGTGTTGAGAGAGTTTTTTAACCGTCAGAGGAGAGAGTTAGAAAGAAAGAGCATAAACAGGGGTTGAGAGAAAGATGAGTGTGGGAAAGAAGAGAAGGCCACACCATGCGCTGAGCTTATGTCCTTCAGCATATTTTAAAGTTTGCTTCCTTAGTTCTTTCATTTCCACTCAGCTTGACTTTACTTGTTTGGAGAACTTTGACTCCCCCCGTGGAGCTGCTTGCATGTTTCTACTGTATGTTCCTCAAACATCTCTTTCTGATGCTGGTGCGCCTTTTAGGCTCCTGTTTGTAAGCTATTCACTTACTGGGAACGCTTCTTTCTCCCAACAACACTTCTCAGCTTTACTCTATCTTCTTTTTACCTTTTGTCATTTTTTTGATACTATTTATTTTTAATTCTACCTTTCTGTATACGTTTTAATTTCTTCATCTCTCCTCCCTTCACTATATTGTTTTTTCTTGTTTACTTTGCATTTACTAAATCTTCATTTTCTCACTTTTATCTCCACCATATAGCTATATGATTTGGGCTCCCCGGCTGAGTCCCAGTCCAGCTCTCCTGGCTGCCTGACCACAGACAGCAGCTGTGTCAACATGGGCTATCCGTCCTGTGGCCATCGTGGTCGATGTCATGGTGAGTGGGGCTCCTTCAGCTGCCAGTGTGTTGCCGGATACATGGGCCACCAGTGTGAAGAAGGTAAGCCAAACCTTTCTTAGGCTCATAACGTTCATGAAATTATGATGCTTCTGACTGTACTATGTTTAACAACAATAACTTAATTCATTGTTGCGATTTTAAAAGGCCCATAGAAGTTCATTAAAGACTGTACCTCTGCAGGTTAACCAACTGAGCAGAAAATATTATACAGTGCATCCTGAAAGTAATCACAGTACTTCACTTTTTCCACATTTTGTTATGTTACAGTCTTATTCTAAATTGTATTAAGTTAATCTCTTTTCTCAAAATTTTACACAAAATACCCAGGTATGATAATGTGGAAAACAATATATTTTTGAGATTATTTGCAAATTTATTAAAAATAGAAAACCAAGCACTCACATGTATGTAAGTATTTATGGCCTTTACTTAATACTTTGTTGATCCACCCAACATTTTTCAGTCAGGTCATCTGGACAGTTTCTTTTTTCTTTTTTTCTTTTTTTAGAAAAAGAAAAGAAACTGTCCAGATGACCTGACTGAATAATGTTGGATTGTATACCTGGATTATTGAGCATGGACTTTGTTGTTTGTTGATCCACCTTTGGCCGGAATTACAGCTTCAAGTCTTTTTGAATATGATGCTTCAAGCTTAGCACACCTCTCTTTAGGCAGTTTGTCCCATTCTTCTTTGCAGTACTTGTCAAGCTCCATCAGGTTGAATGGGAGACGTGTGTGTAGCCATTTTCAGATCTGTCTCCAGAGATGTTCAATCAGATTCAAATCTGGGTTCTGGTTGGGACACTCCAGGACCTTCACAGAGTGGTCCTGAAGTTCCTCCTTTGAGATCTTGGCCGTGTGTTTTGGGTCGTTGTTCTGCTGAAAAATGAACTATCGCCCCAGTCTGAAGTCAAGAGTGCTCTGGAGCAGGTTTTCATCCAGGATGTCTCTGTACATTGTTGCGTCCATCTTTCTCTCTATCCTCACTAGTCTGTCAGTTCCTGCTGCTGAAAAACACCCCCATAGCATGATGCTGCCACCTCCATGTTTCACTGTAGGGATTGTATTGGCCTGGTGATGAGCAGTGTCTGGTTTCCTCCAAACATGAGTCCTGATCTTCACACCAACAAGTTCAATCTTTGTCTCATCAGACAGAGAATTTTGTTTCTCGTGGTCTGAGAGTCCTTCAGGTGCCTTTTGTCAAATTCCAGATGTGCTGCCATGTGTCTTTTATTAAGGAGTAGCTTTCATCTGACCACTCTACCATACAGGCCTGATTGGTGGATTACTGCAGAGATGGTTGTCTTTCTGGAAGGTTCTCCTCTCTCCACAGAGGAATGCTGGAGCTCTGACAACGTGATCATCAGGTTCTTGGTCACCTCCCTGACTAAGACCTTCTCCCCCGATCACTCACTTTAGATGGCCAGCCAGCTCTAAGAAGAGTCCTGGTGGTTCCAAACTTCTTCCATTTATGAATGATGGAGGCCACTGTGCATCTGAGCTCAGTTTTTAGCTTCATTGTGAATATTTGAGTAAATGTGATTTCCTGGTTTTCTATTTTTAATGCATTTGCAAAAATCTCAAAATATATTTTTCCACATTGTCATAATGGGGTATAGTGTGTAGAGTTTTAATGAGACAAAAAAAAACAAAAAACAATTTGGAATAAGGCTATAATGTGAAAAAGTGAAGTGCTGTGAATACTTTTAGGATAGACTGTATCCCCAAAATGATTAAAAATAGAACTAAACAAAACCACAGTAAAATTGTATGAACAATTTGTTATTTTATTGTCTAAACTAACTTGTATAACTAAAACTAACTAATCTGACTGAAAATTGTTGGATTGTATACCTGGATTATTGAGCATGGACTTTTTTTGGTTTTAACATGTATTTTGAACATAGCCTAAAAAATAATGATGTAAAGTTTAGCTCTATTGTGTATTGTTCACATCAATTACAGTTCAGAAAGACAAAGTGCCTTGTTTTGGTGTCAGTGTTTTGGCAGAGGAGAACAGAAAATATAAAAATAAATTATATTTGTTATCCTTTTTTTAAATTTTATTGACTCATAGCTTCCTCATCCCTGTAAGTGGGGGAGCTATAAGTTAGCAGGTCATCCATTAAGATGAGATTTGTCAACTGGTAATTGAAAAAATATAAATATGTCAGTACTTTTCAGTTGTATTTATTAGACATCTGAGAAAATGTGACCCTTTTGACTTTCTATACATGGATTTATTGCTGGTACTTTTGCTCTCACCACTGCAGCCACAGATGATAAGCAATTCAAAATCTTTCTACATTTTTGATTTAAAAACAAATAGGGAGCTCTTCGAGCTCTTCGGGTCATCTCAACTAGTAAATATTGTTTTGTTTTGAAATGCTTTGATTAAAACATTCCTCTATGTCTTCTTTTATGGCAGTTGGCAAAAAAGCCATTTTGAAAACACATGTTGTGTCCTCTTACATGACAGGAGGCAATTTTCTTTAAGTGAGGTGTGCTTCATTTGATTGCACACGCCAACACCTGAAATATGTACCATGATGGTTTAATACAAATACATGTACTGTTACACCCCAAATTTAACATACATTTGCAAGAAACATTTTAATATTAATTTTATCATTGCCGTTGGTGTTGTTGTTAGTTGTAGTAGTACAGTGTTGTTATTAGTGGTAGTAGTAGTAGTATTTACAAAATAAATTAACAAAGTCTGTGAGTTTGTGTGTATATACCGTATTTTCCGGTGGACACGTCACACTGCCTTATAAGTCGCATCAGTGCATATTTGTCTAATAAAGTGGAAAAATCCATAAATATGTCACTTTGCTGTATACATCACATCTATTATGCGTCACCACTTACTCGCTGCGTTTGTTACACATCACCATTGACAACCCGGAAATGTGGGAGGGTGTTGTGCCAGAAATTGATTGACTGCCAAGTGGCAGCTGTGGGAGCGTGCACGGGAGGACTTTAACAAGAATTAACCAAGATTAACACTTAAAAACAATTATTTGTTTGCTCAAAATTATATTAAATATGTGTATCAATCTAACTTTTGCTTAATAAATGCACTGGGATGTCAAATCAGCTGTATTTCAAAACATGATAAGTGAAAGTAAATGCGTGCACGGTAACGAGTCGCTGTACAAAATTTAACAAGATAAACATCCATCTGTCCGTCCGTCTGTCCGTCTGTCCATCCAGCCATCCATCCATCCATCCATCTATCCATTTTCTTCCGCTTATCCTGGGTCGGGTCGTGGGGGTAGCAGCCAAAGTAGGGAGGCTCAGACTTCCCTCTCCCCAGCCACTTGGTCCAGCTCCTCTGGGGGAATCCCAAGGCGTTCCCAGGCCAGCCGAGAAACATAGTTCCTCCAGCATGTCCTGGGTTTTCCCCTGGGTCTCCTTCCGGTGGGACGTGTCTGGAACACCTCACCAAGGAGGCGTCCAGGAGGCATCCTAACCAGATGCCCGAGCCACCTCAACTGGCTCCTCTCGATGTGGAGAAGCAAAAGCTCTACTCTGAGTCTCTCCTGGATGACTGAGCTTCTCACCCTATCTCTAAGGGAGAGCCCAGACACCCTGAGGAGAAAACTCATTTTGGTCACTTGTATCCATGATCTTATTCTTTCGGTCACAACCCAAAGCTCATGACTATAGATGAGGGTAGGAACGTAGATGGACTGGTAAATTGAGAGCTTCGCCTATTGACTCGGCTCTCTCTTCAACACGACAGACAGGTACAGCGCAAGATAAACACCTAAACAATTATTTGTTTGTTTGAAATTATATTAAATGTGTATATCAATCTAATGTTTGCATAATAAATGCACTTTGATGGTCAAATCAGCTGTATTTCAAAACCCGATACGCAGAAGTAAATGTGTGCACGCAACGAGGCACTGTACAAAAATTAACAAGATAAACACCTAAACATTTATTTATTTGCTCAGAATTATAGTAAAGGTGTGTCTCGGTGTAACATTTGGTTATTAAATGCGCTTTAATGGTCAAATCAGCTGCATTTCAAAAATAGTTTTGGCTGAGTTGCTCCCGGGAGCGCGCAGACAGGAAGGAAAAAAGGAGGAACTGGGCTCGTATCTCCGAAAATTAACAAGAAAAGCGCCTAAACTATTATTTGTTTGCTCGAAATTATAGCAAATGTGTGTCTCAGTCTTAACATGTGCTTAATAAATGCACTTTAATGGTCAAATTAGCTGCATTTCGCCGGAGCCGTTTTGACGGTTTTGAGCAGCGAGCCGAATGAAGGTAGGGAGGTTATGGCAGGCCGATAGTCATTAAACACTGATGAAGATTCTCAGTCATCCAGAACATGGTAAATTCTAAAAAGTTCAAGGAAAAAAACAAACAATAAAGTATAAAATAAAGTATAATAAATAAAGTCCAGTTGTTTTTGTCTTGAACTTTTTGAATTTGTCATTGTAGCCTCGTTTACCTATTACATGATACAACAGCATGTCATTTAGCTATTACTACTCTGCTGCCATAAAGTGGTACTGCTCCTTTTTTTTTTTCCAGTCAGAATTAATGATAACTGAGCCAAAAATGGCCACCCTCATACCCTCCTACCCTCATCTATGGTCATGAGCTTTGGGTTGTGACCGAAAGAATAAGATCACGATTACAAGTGACCAAAATAGCCAAAAAAATGGTTTATAAATATGGGAAAAATATGTTGCTTAAGCCTATAAGTCACAGGGCATGTAAATTATGCAAAAAACTGCAATTTATATGCCAAAAAATACGGTAATAATCTCTCTCTCTCTCTCTCTCTCTCTCTCTCTCTCTCTCTCTCACACACACACACACACGCGCGCACACACACACACACTTGTGTACATGTCAGGATGAGTGAGGTGTAGATGATGTTGGAATTTCACAGCTCTGGCCAGTTATTTATCATGTACAGTCACTGCTGCTCTTCTGTGCTTCCTTGACGGTAACTGTGAACAGAGCCATCTGCTTCTTGACATCCTATAAGCAGATGTTATATAAAATGCATATACAGGTCAGTTGCCTTTTCCTTGAAGGCTTCTTAATTACTGTATAATTTGTGTGTTTCTCAAAGAGCAGCATGCAGGCACGCAGCAGCATCCATATTAAGGATCCTTATGGCCTGGGGATGAGCGCTCCCTGTGAGCTTGTCTGTGTTGGCCGTATGATTGTGGAGGCGTTTGCCTGACTGCAGCTGTTGGATTGAGAAGGGATCTTTAATGATCTTGGTCCTGCACTGCACACATCCCAGTTTGAGAAGTGAACCTTAAGTGATGCTTTCTGCTGACCGAAGCACACTGCGCTCATCTCTCCAGTCTGTATTTTAAGTCTTCTGCCTGTGAATGACAATAAATGATGTGGCTTTCTCAAATGTATTATTAATTTTACTACAGGTAGTATGCAGTGCTATAATACAAATAATATTTAACCAATGACCTGTGCAAAAAACGTTTTGTTTTATTATTGCATTTATTGTGACAAGAGCCAATAGCAGCTTTTCTCTAAAAAATAAAATACTAGAAACAACAGGTCACACAGACAAATGTTTAATCAGTGATTGAGTGAAACAATGAATGAATAAATGAATGTACAAGCAGCAATTAATCCCTCAGTTCTGAGTCACATGATTCACTCATTTGGTGAAGCTGCCAATTCAAGAGTCCATGTCCAAAATGGGTCATGTAACTGATGTTTTGCAACACATAAAATTACCTTTGGAAGAAGATGCAAGATGGAGCAAAATAAAATACACAAGAAAACAACTGTTGTTGACTTGTTGTGTTAAGATTTACTCAGCAGAATACAAGATTCTCAATGTGAGTGGAGCTGAAGGGTCGTTATATCTCTCCAGTACCTCATTTTCTGTCATCTTGTGAGGTTTAAACCACCACTTGTTTCTCTTTTTAAAAGCAACTTCTCTAATATTTGGAAGTGAATACTAAACCCAATTGCATTCTCACATTCTATGTAAACAGCTCTCAAACTGCGTAAAGCACAATTGTTGGAATTTTCACGAGGTTTAGGATGTTTAGTTGTATTCTCAATTCTACAACAAATGAAGAGACTGACATGGCTTTGTCTTCGAGCAGGATCTTTACAACCACTCGGCTCCATCAGACTTATAGTACACAGGGGACAGAGCAAGAGATTTTAAAATGTTTGATAGTTTGTTTGTTTTTCCCCACAAATATAAAATAAGTTAAAGAATAGCTTTGAGAACATGTACAGTCTGTTCAGTCTGTTCTGCTCAGCAAGCCAGTTCTGGAAACAGAAAATAAAATTAGACAAGTTGATTCAAGTGACTCCAATTCGGTTTCCAATTTCCAATTGGAAATCACACCAGGAGAGTGGTGGTGCAGAGTTTAGATAAGATGAGTCTGTGATCGGAAAGTCGCAGATTCAACTCCCAGTACTGTCAACATCAAAATGTGGATGGAAAAGGTGAAATACCCACACTTGCCTCCACCCTCATTTGCCCCACTCTCGGCCCCTGAGCAAGGCCCTTAACCCCCACCATCTGCTTCCAAAAACAGGTCTCTCTTGAAAATGAGTTCTCGTGACTCAATGAGACTACCTGTATAAATAAAGGGTAAGTGAAAATTCCAAAATTTCCAATTTCTGCGGTTCACCTACACCTCAAGGATAATGGACACTCATTTGAGGACCAAAACCTTAACGTTTGGACTGAGAAGACAGATGGTTTGTGTGTGTGTGGGGTGGGGTGGGGGTGGGGGGGGGATGATGAAGGATGCCTTTCTGGCAAAACAAGAAAACAAATCTTTAAACAAATGAGGAGGTCTCAGATTTCCGCTTTTAAAAACCTATAATGCAGCTTGAGGACTGATACCCAGTCATTTTCACACCAATCAAGAATTGCATCCATGTGACCAGAGTGGCCCATATTCATTCAACCTTTATTTAGACAGATAAGTCACACTGAGCCTAGAAGACTCATTTACAAGTGAGATCTGTTTAGACAGACAAAAAGTAGTGAAACTGGACACATGTAGGAATTGGAGGTGAAAAAAAATCCTATCAGACTTTTTCTTCATGGCTGAGAAGAAAAAAACTTAATATTAAAAAACATCTTGCACAAATAAGCACATAGTGATGTAGACTTTCCGCAGAGGGGGGAGACGATGAGAGCTGTGAGCAATGTCCTTAGACACTCTTGAGGACACTGTAAGAGTTCAGATAAGGATGGAATAATCAGCCAGTTTCCTCCGGGGAGATCCGTAAACATTCTCAAGGGATGTCGGGGAATGCCAAGAACAATGCCTATGAGAATCCAAGAGTCCTGAAAAGATGACACAATGTCTGTTCAGCTGTTTTCCGCTTTGTTGATCAGTTGAAATTCCTCGGGGGGGGGGGGGGGGGGGTCAGATCACATGTTTTCCAGGCACATTCAGAAAATTTGGCCTTCAAGGCCAGCCAGGGGAGCCAAATTCAGATAAACACACAGTTGTTTTGGGGACAAGCAGAACTTAATGACATCTACCTTGAGTCTGTGTTGGTCCAAACGGTTCCGAAATGTCCAAATTACGTGGCCACACCGATGGAACGTGCCTGAGTAAAATCCCCAAGATCTGATCCATTCTGCCCAAAGCATTTGAGTCTGTGTACTCGAGGCATGAACAAAGCCATCATAAAGGCAAGCAGCATGATTGGGTCCCAATTTGCTACTGAAGACTTCCTTGATTGATTGATAAAACCAGCAACCAGCCGAATCCAAAAAGCAGGAACCAGTTATGGTAAATCCAATTAAATATGCATCTTTACAATCCACAAATGGCAGTAGAGATAGATACATCATCAAGTCTTCAAGTCGATGAGATATCCAGCTGCATGCATGCCAACAGGGCAAATCGGCTCACTTAAAGCCTGTCTTCTCTTCGAAGAAATGTTAATAATTGTGTTGAGGGACCAACTGATCAAATCAAGTCCATAATTATGGTTCGTAAGATATGCAAGAGAGGCTCAGAAGCAGTTTCACAGACATACAGAGCAGCAAAGCAAAGCAAAGAGGGAGGGGAAGGGAAAAGCGTCCGACCTCAACAAGAGCAAGTGGTGAATCAGACCAAGATCCTAACAAACCCCTATCGTGAGGAGTGATAGGGGAATTTGCATATGTATCTAGCTTGGCTCAGCTTTATAATTCAAACCCAACACTCTGCTCTTTGAATTGAGAAAGCTCCTTGGATGAGAAGCAAAATGTCTTCTGTTACAAATAAAGTCCAGTAGTTTTTGTCTTGAACTTTTTTGAAACACCAATTCAGTTTGATCTCAGTTGATGAAGTCAGAATGTTTCATTGAAAATATGGCCCACTGTCAGTCTGTCATGATATCTGTGTGTTCCAGAGGTCCCAGAGTACTCCTTTGATGGCCACAGTCATGCTCGTTACCAGCTGGCAATGCCACTGTCTGCTCGAAGAACATGGGTCCGAGTTCTGGTTCGGACAAGAAAACACAGCAGCATCATCTTCAATCTAGTCTCCAGAGAGCAGAAAGAGTACTTACGTCTGGAGGTGAGTCTGCTACGTGATTATTCAAGTGAGCGCAATGAGATGGGAGACAGAGGAAATGCAAATGTCCTCATTTTGTTCATGTTTTTTAACCATATATTGAGCTTTGGTTGTATGGAGAGCAACAAAACCAAGTTTGATATTCAGTTTTTTGTGCAGTTTTGAATAAGAAACCCCTTTCTTCATACCCAGTATGAAACGGAACAAGTCAACCAAAATAACAGAAACACACCTGAGTGAGCCTGTCTGATCAATGAATGACACATTGCACTGACTTTCTGCAGTTGACTTCTGTAGCTGCCATACAGCCACATTAAACAGATACATTTACACATGACTTACTATGATGACTAAACGTTAAAACATTCATACCATCAACAGCATTTAACAAAAATACATATAAAAACTATTTAAAACACACACACACACATACATATATATATATATATATATATATATATATATATATATATATACTTTGTATTTATAATAGTATTAATCAACCATTAGTCTATCAGATCGGACAATTATAATCTCTCATAATAATTGAGGTTTTTAATTTAATTTGTAACAAAATATATTTTGAAACTACACTTAACAAAAAAATTAAACACAACATGTTTGTTTTTGCTCCCATTTTTCATGAGCTGAACTCAGAGATCTAAGACTTTTTTCTTTTTTTTTTTACGTACACAACAGGCCTTTTTTTCCTCAAACAATGTTCCCAAATATGTAAATCTGTGTTAGTGAGAAACTAACATTCAATTCATGAAAAAAAAAACAGCTCTGGTGGACAATCCTGGACCAAAAACAAAAGTGCTGTGTTTATATTTTTGTTCATCATGTTAAATCTATACAATTTACATTACCTGTAAAAATGCAGTGTGAATGCATTTTGCTGAATTGTTTTTGTTGAAAGATTCTGGCCAAGCTAAAGCTTTGTTGAAACAGAATAGCCACAAATCAGAACTCGCATATTAAAAATAGCTAAATAAAAAATAAAACGGGGGGTTTGTACCACTTCACAATAAGGTTCCCCTTATAGATGGCTATAAATGTTTTATATATACATTATTTATTGCTCTATAAACACTTTATAAATCATTAATAACTGTTTCTTTTGCATTAATTAAGGGTGACGGAGACAACTTGTAAACCTATTTTTTAGGATGTAATATTGTACATTATCACTGTATTATAAGTATCTACAACTGATATTAAAATATATTTTGAAAAAGTTAACATACTTATTGTGCTTATAAGGTAGTAACTTAGTCTGAAATGTTTAATATAACAACTCTAGATGAAATATATAGGTGGCAGATTTGGCTCACTATTTGGTAATAAACTGGTCAGTTTTGTCTCTGTCACCCTTAATTAATACATAATAAGGAGTCATTAATGATTTATAAATTGTTTATAGAGGAATTAATAATGTTTCTATAAACTATTTATTAGCATCTCTTTCTCTCTCTCTCTCTCTCTCTCTCTCTCTCTCTC